CTTTTTAATTTTAAATTCATTTGAAATTTTTATTTTAATTTTAAATTCATTTTAATTTGGTGGGAGAATGAAAGAGGCAATTGGGTAGAAAAAAAGAAATTGTAAAAGATATATAAATTGCATTTTATATAATAGGAAATTTTTAAAATGAAAAGTATTTTTGTTCGTTAAATTTTTAGTCTATCCTTTACCTCTTGGAATAACCAATACCGTGGGACCTTAGTATTGGCTATTCCCCATTTCCCTAAATGATCATTCTTTTCTACCAAATAAGATGTTAGAGAAAGATTAGGAATAGGGGAAATGAAATAACTAATACCATGGGACCTTGGTATTGGCTATTCCCCATCTCCTTGAATGGTTGTTCCTTCCAACCAAACAAGGCATTAAAGAAATATTAGGAATAGCGGGAAATAAAATAGCCCTTCCCCTAGCAAAACTTCTTGTATAAATTTCTTTATCTTCATCTTCATTTTTTTCATATTTATATCCTTCCATGACATCTTCATCCTCGATCAAAAAATTAATCTCTTCATAATCATCACTTATTAAAATTGTAGGAATATCAAATTCTTCCAAAAGAGTAATATTAATTGAATAGACTACCAAGCATATAAAACAATGCTAATCAATAAATTAAATACCCAACACATCACCCAAAAAGTCCATAAATAATAATTAGTGCAAACTCATACAAGTTAAATTTTTCTAAAAATTAATTTTTTTGTTTTGCGTGACATTCGTTTTCATAGAAGCCTTACTCATAATGAGTAATTGTGGATTAAGATTCCTATTTTTTTTTTTGAAATTTAAGATTCCTAATTAATCAATAGAAATATAATCTAGGCTAATAACATGCCATGTTATCTACATTTACTTCTAAATTTTTTCCTTTGTCTTATTACAAGGATAAACTCTAAATTTTAAGGCAAAAGTTAAAACTCTTAGTGAACTTGAGGGACCTTTGAAACCTTTTGTGAATTCAAGCAATGTTAGATCAACTTCATTTTAATTACTCTTAGCCAAAATTTTTTTCTTTCTTCTTAACGATCAACCGCTAAAGATGTGATTGGTTGGCGTAAAGAAACGTATTGATATGGTGTTCCCGACCAAATCAATCGTGAGAAGCAACATATTTGATGCTTTCGACTAGATCTCGTAATCGAATTTGACATTCTATAGCTAAATCTGACCGTGTGGAACATTGATTTGGTGCTCCTTGACTTGATCTAGTCATAAGGAGTGCATATTAACACTCTTGTATGCTGGTTGGCCACATCTCTTGAGGTTGACCATCAAGAAAAAAGAAAGAAAAATAAAAAATTTAAAATAAATTTAAAATAAAAAAATTTAAATTTAAATTATAAGTTATAAAAAGTTATTTTTTTGTTAATTTAAAAATTAAATTAAAAATTAAATTATAAAATTGTAATATTTTAATATTTAAAAATAAAAATAAAATAATAGTGTTAGTATTTTAATTATAAATTATTAATGTTTTAAATACTATATAAATTATTAATATTCTATAAATTAGAAAAATTAATCATATTAAAATTCAAATAAAAATTTATTAATATTTTGAATTAATTATTAAAATAATAAAACATTTTAATTTAAAAATTAGATATTATAATAAAAATATTTTTATTATTTATTATTTAATTATTTTTAAAACTATTCCTTATAATCAACTATTAAAATAATTCATAACTATGCGGACCAAACGCACCCTCACTATCTTTTGGATCTATAGCCCGACTACATGTATCAATCGAATCAAATATAACCTCAAAATTCAAAGTAAGTAAGATACAGGAAAAATAGGGAACAAGAGAAGTTGGGTCATGGCCTCATGGGCCCTCCACCCCAGACACGGGGAAAGGAGGATTCGCGATTACGTGCCCTCTAATTGTGAAGACGAAACCAAAATACATTTGAAGTTCAAACTGGAACAATGATTGTGAGATTTGAAAGTTTAAAACCATTAGCGCAGCAACTTAGTAGGTAGTAGCGCCAGAGAGTTGGGAACCTGCTTTCACGGAAATCTTCAAGTTATTCCATTCTTATAATCTTTGGTCAGTATCTGACACTTAAGCTTAATTAGTTACTATTTGTTATTTGTTTTTGGGAATATACGGTTCGATTTGTTTCGAATCGAAGTCTTGAGCGTGGTTCTTCTCCTCTGATGGGAACTTCAGCTTTAGCTTTCCTTTAAATAGTTAGGAATTTGTTGTTGTTATCTTTTTTATTTTGCTTTTGCTCTTTAAAATCACAAGCATGTGGTAACAAAGTGGATTAATTTTGCGGGTTTCTGTTGTTTTTGTTCAGGGTTTTAGCTCATTAAGCGAAATTGAACGGGCAGAGATGTCCCTTCTCAGCAGATTTTTTTACAGAAGACCCCCAGATGGCTTGCTTGAATTTGTTGAAAGAGTATACGGTACTTACTCACATTCTGTAACCTCAACTTGTTTCATTTGTGCTTTATATGTGTTATTGGTGTATTAAACTAATTCAATATAAGTTAATGCAGTTTTCGATTCCTGCTTCTCCACTGAAGTCTTGCCTGACGGTATGTACCAAGTATATCTACACGAAATTGTAACCGAGTTACAAGAAGAATTCCCAGAGTCATCATTTCTCGCTTTCAATTTTCGTGAGGGTGAAAAACCAAGTCATTTTGCGGAAATTTTATGCCAATACGATGTTACTGTTTTGGATTATCCACGACAGTATGAGGGTTGTCCCCTACTTCCATTGTCTCTGATTCAGCATTTTCTACGAGTTTGTGAGAGTTGGCTTTCACTTGGGAATCATCAAAACGTTATTCTTCTACATTGTGAAAGAGGGGCCTGGCCACTTTTGGCATTTCTATTAGCTAGTTTCTTGATTTTTAAAAAATTGCACAGTGGAGAGCGAAAGACTCTTGAAATTGTTCATAGAGAGGCTCCTAAAGGTTTCTTGCAGCTCCTCTCACCTTTAAATC